TATAATTTTTCCAAAATTTTAATTTCAATTTTTTTTATTTTGTATTTATTTTTTAGCTTGTATTTATTTAGTAGCAAAAAAATATTACACACACATCGCCATAAATACAATATTGGATATAGTAAGTGCGCTGCCACAGAAGGACACTCGGGTACAAGGCCTTAAACTGCCGCCCGATTGAGCTTATTCAGCTGCGTCAGCAATAAACATAAAAGCAATAACAACAGCGGATAACGATAGCTAAAACATGTGTACGTTTTTGTCGCTCGGCACTGGCATAGATGGTGCGTAAAATGTCAAATCGGCTTAGACTGGTCGCCACACCAACTGTAAGTACGCGCACCGAGGAACGTGTTGCGTGTCGCCCGAACCACGAATTGCGAGTAAAACAAGGAAGTCAGCTTAAGCGCAGATAGGCGAAGCCAGAGCCGGCCACAAGCAAATGCAATGCCTTGGAATGAGCGAAAAAAAGTAATCAAATAAAAAACAAAATCAACAGCAAAAAGTCACACATTACTTGCCACAGCACTTTGCCCGCTCAAATCGCCAATAAATACCGTACACACGTTTTTGCGACGACTTTTCCACACACAAACGAAAAAAAAAAAACACAAAGAAAAAACAGTAACGAGCAGCAACAAATAATGGCTGCAAATCGACGTTGGCGCTGTTGCAAGCAAAATCTGAAGACAGCCAATGCAAGCAACAACCCAAAAAAAAAATTGAAAACACAACAACAGCAACAAAATATTGCTGCGACACATTTCGCGCGAGCACTAAAACATTTTCATTTCGAACGTTGCTTTTTTGTTTTTGTAACAAATTTTTGTTATTGTTGTTGCAAAATATAGAAATTGCTTATTTCGCTCGCTGCCAATTTATTATCACATACACTCCAGCGCGCTGCAACGTTTTGCTCCACAACCACACACAAACATACACACACACATATACATAAAATTACTTAGCACCGCACCGTACCGCACTGCTTATAATAAATATGCGAAAATTTGCAACTTCTTTCTTTTTTCGGTGCGAAGGTACTTTTTTGCTCACAAATGTAATAACAGACAAAACAAACTGTAAATGTGAAAATGTGAAATGCGCGCGCGTGCGACATACCTGTACGAAGGCGTAGTGACACCTGCGATATCCGAAATACAACTGACCGTCGAGTTGGCCGCACTGGTGCATGGCGAAGTTGTTGCGGTGATGGCTACGCCAGTTGGCGCTGTTGACGTCACTGCCAGCGTTGGCGTTGGCGTTAATGTTGCTGGCGCTGCTGGTGAGTCTGTTAACAGTTTGGCGGCCACTGTGGCCTCACCCGAGTCTACAGCCTCCACTAAAGCGGCACTACTTTCTGCCATTGTTGTTGTTGCTGCTGTGGCTTCAGCTGGTGTTATAATGATGGTGGCGTTTGTTGTTGTCGCTGTTGTTGTTGTTGCGCTGGATACCTCCGAGAGTTCCTCGTCTGCTACGCACTTGCTAACAGACTGTTCATGGGCAGCAGCGCTGTTAGCAACATGCTCAGCAACATGTTGCGTGTTTGGCTCAGTGTTGCGCTCGCTGTTGGCACTTTGCGCGCCAATTTCCTCAACTATTACTGCCTTTGCCTGCATCATGTCTGTGTTATTTGTTGTAATTGTGGTGTTTACTGTTGTTGTTGTTATTGCCATAGCAGGCAGCTGCAGCGTCTCCACTGCAGTTGGCTGTGTATCTTGTGCTTCGGCTCTCGCGCGTGTCAACATAGCTGTTGCGCATGTCGGCGACGACGACGACAGCGGCGAGTCTGCCCGCTCTTTCCCAGCTGACACGCTTGTGCTCACACTCAACGCTGGCGCTGTTGTTGGCGCAATTGTTGCTTGCTCATTAGCGCTAGGTTTTGTTGTTGCTACGGCGCGCTCTCTCCACTTTTCGTCTTTTATTTTGTTCGCTCTTTCGGCTTTACTTGTTTTGGTTTTCGTTTCGGCACGCGACTCATGGCGGCGGCTGGGCTGTGAGTACAGCAATGTATACTGTTGTTGTTGTTGCTGATATTGCTCACATTCCATCTGGCAACATGTATCGCAACTTATAGTCATTGCCGGAATGGTGGCTGCTTTATGTTGTCGGCCGGATGATTCTCGGCTGCTGCTACTGGTGGCGGCGCGTCGTTTCTTCTCTCGCCGACTGTGATGACCGCCGCCGGTGCTGCCACCTTCCAAGGCACCACTGCCGCCTACATTTCGGTGTTGCTCACTACTGCCTGGCTGTGTTGTAGTTGCCGAGGTTGCCGCATTTTCTGCATTTGCCTCGTCGCCCAGGTTCAATGCCATCGCCGAGTACCCTGTTGCTCCGACTGCAGCAACATTTATCACATTCGTTGCTTGAGCGTTTGTTGCTGCTGCACTTTTGGCAGCTTCGCTGCTGGTCGTCGTCGTCCTGATGTTGTTGTTGGATTTGCTCGTTGCGCTTTTCGTTCGGTCAGTTTTGACGCTCTCGCTGTTAGCCGCCAACGTGTCCTTGGATTTCGTTTGTACTGTGGTCGCATTGGCCTCGTCATTCGTAGCGACCGACTGCACTGCGCCAGCATTGTCCGTGTCCAATTTAATGTCGCTGCCGCTGGCTATGTGTTCATGTGATGGCTCGTCTCTTGCCGCTGCTTCTTCTTCTTCTTTTGCTTTGTTCTGTTGCTCCCGGTTGAATTCAGGGCTCGTTGTTGCCTGTAAAAAAGGGTACTTTTTAAAGTGTGCTGAACAGCCGTGCAAATTCGTTTAACAAAATAGTTAAGATTGTATAAATTGAAGTACAAGTATGTATGTAAGAATATGAACGTGTATAAAATATGACCAAATTTAAAAATCAGCTCGGCAATATGGATGAAGGCTGGAGCCTTGAACTTCACTATATCATTGCTGAGCTGAATTTTAAATTACTTCTCGGAAATCGGCTATACAATCAGAACTTAGATTCTCATTCAGAAGAAGCCACATTTTCCTGTCCTCTGTTCCGATTTAAAAGTCTCGTGTCTCTCTGGCTGAATATATACTTTGCGAACTGAATACACACCAAAATCTGCTCCTTAATAGGTTCAAAAACAACGACTTCAGCACAAAAATCAGTGTGGCACTGAATGACATGGGACTAAAATTGTTCTTCGGAATTATTAAACGAATCGCCAAAGAGAATAAAATACATTCATCAATAAACCATGTGGTGTGCTAGAAGTTTGTAGAGGAAACTCTGTACGAAAGAATCTCAAAAGTAAAAGTCGAAATAACTTATGTTGGTATCTTAAAGAGATCTCTGTAGGAAAAAGAAAGAAATTTTCGATTTATGGAAGCACGTCAAACTCTTTTTCCTAAAGGATTTATATGGATGATATACCTCTTAGGGATGTGTGGAGTTTGAGGAAGTTTTCAGGGGGAGTCTTCTGTCTCTCAATCTCTTCTTTCAGACTGTCAGACCACTGTAGTGGCTCAACATTACCAGTAGCAACAGAGATACTTCTACGAAGTACGGCTTATTTTCGGGTAAACCTTCTTAAGATTAGTTGAGTCCTACTTTCATCATAAACTTGTGTAGGTGCTTGTCCATAGCGGAATCGGCGGAAACAGTAAAACTGATGAGCTCACAGGAAATGTCATCCTTAACTAAAACCGTTCAGTATGGGAACGTGTTCACCTGTTTTGTTGCCTCAGACGCTGGATATATAAGCTTCATGCGAGCTCAGTAAGTGTTTGTCAGCAATCAGCACTGCTGAGCTTGTGAAAGCCTTCTGGCCAACAATGATAGGTGTTCTAACTGAACACTGTCGCATAGGAACTCAGTCGGTGGGGTTAAAGATTATTGAGGACGCTAAAGTTGCAGGAAGGAAAATGAGCTGGAAACATCTAGACCCTTCCTCCACTATAGTCCAGTTTCCGCTAGACTAAGGTTTTTTTCACTTATCTATAACCGCGTAAGTGGTGTCCACGCCAATAAAGAAGAAGAAGGTCTGCCCTTCATATATCTGATCTAAAAGCTCACATAATTCTCAAAGGTGCTTGAAAATATTGAAGAGTCTTGCCATTGTTACATTAAAAAGGTCTAAAACCTCATAACAAAAGCTCCGACATTTCCGTCCTCAAGTCACTCAACTCAACAAACTATTATTAACTTTATTGTTATTACTAAGCCGACATTGCAAAGACCTTTACAAATACTATTACACACACACAACTATTCGGAGCACAAATCTGACATTGTCTCAACTCTACCTGCATTCCGTGAATGTCTTAAATGTTACTACCAACAACTGCTAGGCAATCTTTACTTCCACAATATGGCCGACAGTTTGTTCACCTCACGAATGTGTCTTTGTTCTAGGCATTGTTACCGTCCGTTATACAGCTACCACCTAATCTGTTTGCGCCATTGTCCTCGTCCGCGAAATATGACATTAAGCAAATTTGCTCAATTAATTGAAAAACTTTTACTTTGACTCAAGTCTGTCGAAATACAAAACGTCTGGGGCATTGGCATTGTCAGCCGCACTGAGCGTTAAGTGGATGAAAAATGCAGAGGAGCTCACCTGTCTTCGAAAACGTAAGAGACGGGCGGGCATAGAAGCGCCAGTAACTTGCTAATGATTTTGTCAGTGAGAAAGGCACATCGACACTCGGCGTTTTGTGTGAAGAATACTGTCTCTGCTGTGATTTTGAGCGCCTTACTTATCCACACACCACCCGCGCCGCTCGCAGGTGTCGTGGATGGCTGCGGTGTTTCTCAGTTCAAATTCATTGTCACTGCTGTCCGTTTGCAGCATCCTTTTCCCTCATCATTTTCCCTTTACGCTGAGCCCCTTCCCTGTGTTGTTTGTTTGAGTTTGCTGGCCTTGCATAGCTACAAATAATACCTTGCATTTTTTTTGATTGGTTTATACTTGCTGCAGCACTGCGTGAGCAGAGATTATGAGGGAAACTTCTGGGTAGTTTCATTGACTTTTCGTTTGTTGTTTGCTAAATATTCGTGAGTTGCCGTTTGTTTGTTTGCATATTTAACGTAATCGCTAACTTCGCGGAAATGTCATTTAGTTTCTAAGATTTTTTCGGATTTTCTCTTGTCTCTCATCTCATGCATTTCTTGTTATAAAAGTTGCTATTAATCGGGAAGGCTTTGGAATATTTTACATCAGAAGACTTTTATGAAAGAGCTCAATGTCGTTGCTCTTTAGAAAAGTTTTAAAAAGTTCCTTACAGAAATACTGAAATATTCGAATGTATTGAAAGTTTTACCGTAAAACAGAGAAACAGTACAGTTTTGGAATATATTTTCAAACCACTGTTTACAGATTTTGTATGGTATTCCTGTTGTCGAATTAAAATTTTTTCTATAGTATTTCAGAATTCGGTCCCTCTTCAATTTCAAGCCGCAATATATATATTTTCACATTAGATTTCAATACCTTCGTACTCTGTCATCCTATTCTAACCTGAATTCTTTAGATTTTAGCATAGAATTTTGTAACTGATTTGGAGGGTGTTTGTTCATGAGGACCGACAAAATTCGACGAAATATCTTGAAGTCAACTAAAAGTGGCAAAGTTAAAAAATTTCACTACCAGTTAGTTTCTCTCAACAATTTCGAAATTTTCGCCTAAGCACTTCAAATTAAGCTTTGAAAAGCGACATAATCTTGAAAGAATTGGTGGAACGATTATCTTTAAATCATTGCAAAAGTATTTAGTTTGTTTAAAATAATTTTGTAAAAGTGCTGTTGCCTATAGGCAACATCCTGTTACTAACGAATCATGACATTAAGGACTTTGAAATTTGTATCACTTCATACTTGAGTTAAGGCTAACATATATCTAAAAAAAAATGTTTTAACTCCGCTCATTTTAATTCGGGCATAAAAGGGTACATTTTAGCCGCATACTGTACAACTGAAATAATTACTTTAGCTGTTAAAAATCGGCGGCTGATAGGCACACAGCCTTTATTTGCCACCATTCTCGATAAAACATCACAGGATTTATTTGCTTTCCAAATGTTCTTTGAATTTGAGTCTTGGGTACACTATTACACCAAGCTACTTCAATTGTGGCTGTAAACTAATCCCACCTTCTATTATGTTTAACGATATCGTTTCGTCAAATTTCTTGAAGCTAATAAACAAGATTTCTGTTTTCTGCTCTAGACTCATGGTTGCAGACCATCGGCGCAAACCCTTTGTGCAATCATCGCATTTGATCCGGATGTCTTCCAGATTTCTAGCCATTGCTACCACTATGAGGTCATCCGCATATGCGATTGTTTTCGCACTTTTTGGTTTACATATTCTTAGCTCCACGTAGAGGATCCAAAACCAGGCTTTGCTTTACACCACTCAAGATAGTGTAACACTGAGTGCTCTCGTCCAAGTTTGAGAATCTAATTGGATGTTAGTTGTAGAGGCTGTTTGGAATAAGACGTGTTATAAACATCTCAGCACTTCTTTTTTGCCTATACCGTCTGTGCCTGAACTGAGCTCAGTCTCTTAGACGATGCGCCGAGTTGGTGGGAATAAAAATAAAACGCCTAAGCAAATTGAAATTGACCTCAAAGCACTTTGCCTACTCATAAGATCTCATTACGCGAGTGCTATATTTTGGGCTCCACAAAGTACTACATAGCAAAGTTCATGTACGATCCGCAATTTGGTGATCAACCATTGTCCATAACCTAACCTAAACTAGACTAATCGAACCTATAACTGCCAAGATCATTCCACGCCGTAGCGTAGAGTCATAATCAGCCGACAGCCATCAATAATCATTTCTTATATTGGTTTAACCTCAAACGCCAGACCAAATAGTCACATTTCAGTCAAGCAATGGTGTTTCTTGAAATTTGAATAGACTGGTCCAACCACCTAACCACCTAACAACCATTTCTTGAGTTCAAATCGCATCCCTGACACACGCACTACCGCAGTAACATAGATATGCAAAATGCCACACATACCAAACATACCACAGCTGCTTGGCCTACATGCGCACATGCACAACCGAACTGCTGACGACAGCGTCAGGGAGACGTGCCATTGTGCTTACCTACCTGCCAGGTTGCTGACGCTTGGCTTGACTTCTGCGGCTTCAACTCATTTAATATAAATTGTTTCATTAATGAAATATCCCAACAACAATGCAATGCAATGAAAAGTACAGCGGTGACGTCCAACGCATTGCGCCTACTGCACAGCGCGCGTCTCTTACCGCGTGCCATACGCCGCTTAGACTGGAATACGAACAACGCCGACTTGGCGCGCGCGTCAACACGTGAAGCGAAGGACAAAGTTTTCGATGTCAAAATGCGAAGAAAAATCGAAAAAGACATGGCTTGACATGAGACATGAGTGAAATAAATCCAGACAACGCCAACAACAACAACTAGGAAAAGGTGGGTGGAAAGGTAGACAGCGCCACATGCGGATTCAGCGAATAAACAACGTGAAAGTAAAAGAAGAAAACTTACAAAGTGGCAGAACTTTGCTTGCACAATCAACGCGCTAACAACTTGCGCTACATAACAACGAATGCATAGTACAATAAAAACAAAAAGCGCTGTATAACAACAGCAACAAAAACCAAGTAATGCAATGAAAGTTAGGCAAGCGACTAAGTTGGGCGACTTTGAGTATGCAGCAGCTATGCGCAACCACGCAAATAAAGAAAGGCACGTTGAAGTCGAGTGCAAACATGTGCGGCGGCGCCTGTAGGTATGCTAAGATTTGTGTTTAAGTGAAATTTTGCTAAGCATTGCGGCGCAGCGGGTTTGTGGCAAAAGAGGAAATGCAAGAGGCATGCCTACACGCACACACACACATAGCATATATAATACATATGTATATACCACACACACATATATGTATACAGAGGCAAAAAATTAGCATTACTCACCTTGCCGCGTCGCTCACTGCCGCCACTGATTGCCGTCGACGCCGCTGCTGTTGCTTTTTGGCGGCGCAGCAAGCTGCTCGACACCGTGCCACCGGAATCCTCGCTGCGCGCATCATAAAAGACATCATCATCATCTGTGGCATGTGCGTTGTTGCACATTTCCAGTTGCTTGACTGCCTCTGCGGCATGCTTGCTATTGCAATTTGCATTGTTCAGCTTGTCATGTGTGCGCTCTTGAAGATGTGGCTGTTGTTGTTGTTGTTGTTGTTGTTGTTGTTGCTGCTGCAATTTCGTTGCGGCATCTGGCATGCAATTAGCACCTGCCACAGGCACCGCAGTAGCCACAGATGATTTTGTGGCCGTCAGTAATGCAACAGCTGGGCGCTCACATAAATCTTGATGCAAAGAACTGTCAGCATTTTTTATTGCTGTTGTTGCCACTGCTGTTGCTGGAAGTCTTAACTTTGTCACCTTGGCTGTATCGTGTTTGCCACTTTTGGTTGGACTTAACTGCGCGTCCTTAGTTGTTTGCAATGACAGCTGGCGCTGGGCATCTTTTTCTTTTTCCCTTTTCGTCTGGCTTTCGGCTGCTTCGCCATCTGCTTTGGCATGCTTCTTCTTGCGTCTTTCGGCAGAGCATTTTTTCAACTCAACCTCATCCAGTTGCTTTGGCTGCTGCGCGTTCTCAATGTTCACCTTTAGCTCCTGCAGGTCTGAGTAGGTGGCCGGCGATGGTGGCGGTGGCGCCGGTATGTCCTTGCTGCGGCGCGTCACGGACAATGATGACTGCTTGGAGGCGGATGAGCTGCGGTGGTGGCGCTTACTAGTATGCGCTGCAGGTGCGCATCCGGTATTGTGCTCAACGCTTAGATAACGTGGTTCACGCTTCATTGAGCCGCCGTCGCCGGCACTAACTGCGCTACCCGCTGTGTTGGCGCCCAATAAAGCGACTGCGGGCGCTTCATTGTGATTGGCATCGGCTAATGCTACAATGATGTTATTATTGTTGTTGTTATTGGTAAGCGCCTCAGCGGCGACACGTGTGTTGCGCTCGCTAGCCTTGACCGTGTCGCCATCGGCGGTTTGCACGTAGGCCGCAGACAAACCGAGTGGGCGATCGGTAATTTTCAAATGCTTCGGACTGTGACGCGGACTATGGCGTTCGCTGCGCAGCGGTTGATCACTATTACTATTAATGTCGCCGGTTGTCGTTGGCAATGTGTTGGTTGCATTACTTTTATGCTTAGTGCCGCCAGCGTTTTGCAAGCACACAGTTGTGGCTTTTGGTATGGCGCCCGTGGCGCYTGCCACCAGACGATCCAATGAAGGATATTCGCTGTGGCGCTCATAAGCAGTTGCGGCCGCTAAGTGCCGCGACGCGCGTTGTATTGGCTGTGGCTGTGGCTGCTGTAAGCTAGTGCGTGGCGCTGGTGTTGGCGTAGTCGAGCTGTCCGTATGCGCGCCAGCTGTGATGCGCGCTGTGCGCGTACGCTCTTTGGTTAGCGGTAGTGTAGTTATTTGCGGCGCATCTTTGGTGGCGTAGCGACGTGGACTGCTTTCTGGCGCTTGCACATTAGCGCCGCGCTCAGCAGCTTTAGCGCGATTGCTTTCAAATTTGCTGCTAACTGCGTACTCGGCAGCGCCGCTTGCATTGCGTTGCATCTCCGACTGGTAGATGCTGCGCTTAACATCGTTCACATGCTTAAAGAAATCCTGCGCATATTTATTCTGCTTCAAGTCGAGTTGCTCCTGTTTGCGCTCGTACTCCGCGTTGCCAGCGCTTGGGGGCAGTGTGCCCGCCGCCGTCTTGCGCGGTATGCCGCTGCTACGCTGCGCGGCTAAGGCGGCCGCCGAGCCACCAGCGCCCGCTACACTGCCATACATTTCGTCGAAGTCCGAGGAAAAGTAACTGGAGGAGCAATCGCAGTTGCGGCATTCATAGCGACAAGTGTCGGAGAAGCTGCACTTCTCGCCGCCATCCAAGCTGCAGCGCCGACACTCGAAACCAAAGCGGCAACTCTCCGAACTACCAAAGTAGCGACGCTGCGCGGAGGTGCAGGAAAACAGCGAGTCACCCAGACTGGAGTCGCTCACCTGCCCGCCACCGCCGGCGACGCCGCTAAAACTGCCACCGCCGCCGCCTGCGTAACGAAAGCGATTATAGCGATGCGAATTGTCGCTGCTACGCAACGAGTACTCGCTCAGTATGGAGGCGCGCGAATCGCTTTTGTACATTTGCGGCAATTCATACGAATCGACGAGTATTTGTGAGCCGCCTATAGGGCGGCTGGCGGCAAACATGAGCGAATGTGTCGGTCCGACAGTGGCGCCACCATAGAAAGGATCGCCCAACAGCACTTGTTGCGCATCGAGACGTGACATCGTGTTGTATTTATGCAAATGTTGATGCTGTTGCAATGAATCGCTGGACGACGATGATTTGGTGTTCATGCGTTGCATGCCACCGCCACCGGAGATGGGCGGTCCTGCGGCGGCCATTGCGGGCGCTTGATAAGTGAGCATATAATGTGAGTGTTGTTGTTGGTGTTGATGACTGCCCATACGATGGCCGCGTGCGCGCTGCTGTGTTATGAGTATGCCGGCGCTGCTGGTGACCACTGTCGGTGACTGATGGTAGTGGTGATGTGTTGGCGCGCCGCCGCCCGTTTGCAATAAGTAATTGTTGGTTGAATGTTTCAAGGGCTGCTGTTGCTGTTGCTGTTGTTGTTGTTGGTGATGTACTGCAGGCTGATAGCTTACTTGTTGCAACAATTGTGGTTGCTGTTGCTGTTGATGCGCCATATTCGACGCATGTTGCGCTAAACCCAGAGGCTGTAGCTCTATGCTGGGCGTTGTTGTTGTTGCGGTGCCTGTCGACGGCGAAGACTGTTGAAATTGCAATATCGGATTGTATTCACCCGTGATGGCCACCGGTGTTGTCTCTATTTTGTAAACGCCCGGATTATTCGGATTGTACGATTGGAACTCAAGTATGTGCGCGGCGGGTAGTGGCGCGCCCGCCATGCCGCCGTTGCTGCTCGAGCTGTTGTAGTCGGCGGGCGCGGCGCTGGGCGCTTGCGTGATTAATGGCCGCGCCGGCGTTTCGAATTGTTGTGGTAGTTTATTGAGCGTTTGTTGTTGTTGTAATGGCACGACCGCATACGGTTTGGCCATATCGCGCTGTATTTTACTGGCGCTTTGCGCATGCTCATCCGCGACAGCCGTTGACTGCTGCGCGTAGCAATATTCGCAATTCTCTTTGGTGCATTGCTGCAGGCAAAGTTCACAGTCGGCGTAGACGCCCTCTTCGCTGCCGCTGCATTGTGATATGGGCGTTTCGGCGCCTCTAGCTTGATGTGCGTGTTGTGTGTGCGGCGCTTGTTGTTCCAGCTGTGTATGTGCATGCGTCTGTGCGCTATTGCTTTGCTGCAGCGGTAACGGTGGTGGCTGTTGCTGCTGCTGTTGTTCTTGTTGTAGTTGCTGCTGTTGTTCATCATCGGATGGTGGCGCGTCCTTGAAGAAAATCTCCTCATAGATATTCTCCTCGCTGCGTGAGTGCGTCTTCTTGCCGCCAATTGCCGCGCTCGCTAAGCCGCTTGTGAATGAGTTGCGCTGCTTCTCCACAAAGCGCTTCGAGCTCTTAATACCCTCCTTCAGTAAGTAGTAATTGAAACTCTTAATGCCGATTTCACCGCGCAAGAAGCGCCTGCCAATTTGCATTTTCGAGCTGGCACCGCCTGCTGCGCTTGTTGCTGCCACAGCCTTCACCGCAGACGCACCGCTGTGCATGGATGAAATCTCATCGCGCGCCTGCTGCTGTTCGACCGCCCATTGTAAATCGGCTGCAGCGCCATCGCTATATTGTTTGGTCATCATGGCTGACTGCGTTTTCGACCGCCGATTGCTTGACGCGCGCGTGTTGTTTGTTGCTTCGTTATAACTGTCTTGTTTTTGTTGCATTTCCGCGTGTTGTGTGAGGAGTGCATTGCTTTCCACACTCGTCGTATTGATTTTCTGTTTACTGCTGCGTTCGCGCTTCTCACGTTTTCGTTCGCCACTCTTCCACTCTGTTGCCGCAGCAGCAGCGCTACGTTCTAGGCTGCGTCCACGTCGTCCCGCACTCGCCGTTGCGCCGCTTTTTGATTGACTCTCCGAACGTAGCGGCTCGTCTGAACTACTCGATGCGTCGCGTTCATAGGTGGCGCCAACATCGCGCAATTTATTTTGCTGCAAAAATTCCTTGGATAATTTACTGCGCTTTCCCAGGGAACTGCTGCCACTGGCCGTCAAGTTGCTCGCCGTATTGCCGCTGGCAAAGGATTTCGCTTTGGCGTCCGCCTTACCGGAACAGCTGTTGCGGCGTAGTGGGTTCGCCAGGTGGCTGATATCGTCTGTGTATGCTGGATCGTCGTAAATACGGTCACGTACTGAGGACACCGACCGGTCTTTGCTCTGCAAAAGATAAATGATAACAGCACAATGATGAGTTCGTATGAGTCTAAAGAATGGCTATAAAAGAAGAGTAATAGCTACGGTACAAACGAACTTTGAATACCCTACTTCAGGTAATTCAGATAACTGGACTTTTAGAAATTTTTCATCTAACCTTTAACCACATATGCGAGTGCATAATTTAAATAAATTGAAGCTTCAGCTGGTTAGAAATAAAATATTTTAATATTGCAAAGACGCTTCTTATCGAGTTCCGCAAAGCTGAGTTTAAGGCTTGGGAGACTTTACTTTGATGCCTTAAACGGTTTTAATCATTAAACTATTGGAAGGCATTAAATAGGTGTCCGAAAGAATACAAGTTTTAGTTGAGAATTTTTAGTCAGAGAACACTGATTTATTCCAGATAAGCTCTAATAGCTATACATGATTCGGGTCAGGTTAAAAGTTTACTTTTTTCACGGATAATATGTGAGATAAGCCTTGGATGAATTCCATTACCTTAGATATTCTCAATGACTCCGAAAAATAATCATTATCCTCAGATTTCTTCAAATTATAAGGTATGAGCTTATATGAGAACTTCTGGCTTGGAAGTGATCCCTGTTCGAGGACCCCAATTTCCTATAGTACAGCTTACATAAGATACCATTTGACTACCGGTTTGCCAAATTGTCAATTCTGTCTGTTTCCTGGTGAGCTTGCAGCGGAGATACAATAACTACGGTAATCCTCATTAAAGAGACGGGATCGAAAATTTTGGATTATTCTGAGCGAGCTCATATCGTCTTACATCGAATCAAGCTTCTACCTCGGCATGATCTCAGCTTGAAGATCCGAATTTACAAAAGCTGGTATTGACTACATGTTGACCTTGACTTTGACTAGTTCTGACTGTTTCCAGGTGAACTTGCAGCAGAGATACAGAAACTACGGTAGCACTTATTAAACAGCCGGGGTTCGAAAATTCTGGCTCTCTTTGGACGGTCTGTTGTCGCTTGAGAACGAATCAAGCTTCTGATTTGGATTGATCTTAACTCAAAGATCCCAATTTACAAAAGCTGGTATTCGACGATCTGTATCTGATCCGTTTCAGATCTTTTCCGAGAAAACTTGCGGGAGAGAGACAGTGGCTTGGTTCAAATCTCTATAAAATGTTTTGCTTTAAAGCACTGAGGTATTTGGTTTCAAACGGAATATTGGTCGCTTTGGTCTTATGCTAGAGCTTCGCGTTTCACAGTCACTTTGCTCCACGAAGTATCTTTAAGTCTACAACTGAGGCTTTTTCCAAATACGACCAACTAATGTTCTATGGAGTGTCTTCAAGGTACCGATCTTTCACTAAAGAGCTGAAGTTTGAAGAGGAACATATTCAAAACCCAAGTTTCGTTCAATAAACTGGGCATACAAATAGTATTATGAGTACTGCATGAAGCTTTATCTCTAACCCGGTTCCGGTCAATAAACTGGAAGTAGCAGGATCTCTAACCCGAGCTTTGTTTATTCAGAATCCAAGTACTGTTTGATAAATTGGACGGACCTAACGGTATTATGACTACCGGATGAAACTGTATGAGCTCCATTTTGGAACACCAGATCTTTTCGGATAGTCTCAAATGATCAAGAATTTGTGAATACAGTTCAAAAGTGGTCTTGTTGCAACATATGGGTATAACCACAAGTCACTGTAACTAAGTTTTGGTGGAATGTGACTTTAGTCTTATTCTTATCATCACTTCAATTTCGGCTTTCTTCATAGTTTAGTACAACTGAGCGATTGGGCTACAAAAGACCGAGTGTAAGGTACAAAAACAGCACAAAGACAAATTCGACCGCCGTGTGCTGCGCGAAAAGCAGACAATCGGTGTCAACGAATGCATGCCATAAATTCAAGCCGAACGGGAGCTCCAAAACACGCGTGCTACTTAGTGTACGATTCATGCACATTTCAAGCGATACTAACGCCTCTTTCCGCTCAAGCATTCAAGCTTTCAATTCACAATCGCAATAATAATTCGACCACATATGGTGGCATGCCGCACATTCTGTGCTGTGCGTGCCTCGCACTCGGTTTAGTTATTGCCATTGTTGTACGCATTGAATTGGCGATGTTACGGAAATGTTGATGGAAACAGAAATCTGATTGAAAAGTTTCCCGTTGTCGCTAAAAACCGCACTCGATGCGTATAAATGCAATATGAGAGTATTGAATGGCTGCACGCTGTAGGAATATGCATGCATGGATGTGTATGTGAAAGTTCAGCGAACATGCACACACCTACGACTATAAGCTCGCATATCAGCGGAGTAAAGTTAAAACAGCTTAGCGTTAAAAGCATTTATATAGCAAGTATTGGCGTGCGCCATAGAAATAGAGCGCTGCCACACCTGCCACCTGCAACATGACGCGCTTTTGTTTACGAAATTCTATAGCCAGCCATTCGAGGCGCACGCACGCATCTTTGCAAACATACATATTCATATGAAATATTGTTATATTCTCACGTGTTTGGCTTTTGTCTCGCCCACCATGAAGTTGCGCATGGCGTATGAGTAACCCACTTCTGTTGGAAATTTCTAGATAACATTTGCGATAATGGTTTTTATTTCTATCCAATTTGGATATGTGAAGTGATTGGCAATCGTTTGCAGGTATTAAAAAAAATTTGTTTTTTCATTTTCGAATTTTATATAAATGTACTTTCGTATTGTAGGCGGCGAAGGAGATTAAGGCAACTCTTTTTAATTTACTTAAACTGTTAAATGTAGACACAAATCGAGTTCAAATTCACGTTGAAACTAATTAAAGACTCATTAAAAATAATATCTTCCGCTCAAATACGAACCGGACTGCTACATTTAAACAAATAAAATCTAGCCTAGAACCGAAAATAGATGCTTGGTAACGTAGCTGAGTAATAAAGGATAAAAAGGAAGATCGAGGTATGTGTGTCACAAGAGTTTTGGGCGCATGGTAAAGGTGTGTAGAAATATCCGAAGCTGTATGCTTTGCAAAGCAAATCACTTCACCTTAGGTATTGCCTGACCGTAATAAGTTGATATGCTGAAGACATTGAAAAGATGAAGTTATAACAGATAAACCTTAATAACTGCGCTACAGCAGAAGATCTGCTAAAACAAACAGTACTAGAAAAGAACATAGAAGTCACCTTACTAAGTGAGCAATATACCCAGCGTTCGGAAAGTACTTGGATCACAGATATGACTAGATAGGCAGTAACACTGTCCCGCAAAGGACTAACTTTCTCATCATGCTCCAGAGAAGCTCTAAACAGTTTTACATGGGTGAACATACACGAAAGATATACGTAAGCTGCTAGGCCTGTCCTAGCGCATCAATTAATTAACTCGAAAAATGCCTCTTATAAGTCGGACTTGCACACAAACAGTGATCACATAGCCATTATAAACGAAGGCCGCCTCAGAATACTTTTAAAAGCCAAAAAAGGCTGCTAAAAGAAGCAGCGATTCTAAGACCCAGCTTGTTCGTCAAATGTACAACGCGTGTATAATAACTAAAAGAGATGTACCCCGACCCGTGGAAGGTACAGCGTTTGGTCGGTAGACCCACAGACTAATACCGAACATCGATCCGTGGATAGATAGACAACATGGGGACCTAGACATCCATCTAACCCAAATATTGAACGCACATAGATGCTGTAGAAGTTATCTGTTCCGTAAGGTAGAAGTAAAAAAACTTCACTTGCCGGTAGTTTTTCGGTGGAACATTTGACAGCACTCATATGTCAGTGCTCTGGTAAATGGAAAGCTGTTAGCTGTTTCTGGTATGTGTTAGGAGAGATTGACAAAGAATAATCTGTTATGAGCTACTCCCCCACTAAAGTCTTAGCTCGCCAGAAACTTTTACCGCCAGACTGTACTGTTTTTTCAACCACTTGAGCATATTTACCGGCTTCATAAATCTTCTAATCTTAATGGAATTTATTTTTAACAGAATATATATACTTCCATTCCACATTTCCTAAAATGTTGCCATATCACTAAAGTGCATTTCAGAAGATTGCTTCCAGCCGCAATTCTTGGAAAGTACTTATCACTAATTAAAATTACTTCTGAGCGATTGATTTGAAAAAAAATTCATTGAATTTGTACAAAAATGCATTAAATATTAAATTGTTTAATTACAAATTCTTGCCACGTAATCAGTAGCGCTAATTACGCACTTAAGTAACGGCAGTCGTTAAGTCCTCTTATCCCCACAGAAACATGCATCCATACATATACATCTATGTACACATATTGTATATAATATTATATATACATATTGTATATATAGTACATATATATTATATACATGTGTAAATGTATGGATATGTAGATATGTATGTAAGTGCATGAAATGAGCCAAATCCAACACAAATAATTACTTAATCGCCATGCTTGAAATTTCCACTTAAAACTATTTTTACAATATGCCCTCGCAACCGCAAAAGCTTCACTCAACTTATTAATTTTATGTCATTTGCTGGTGTTGTTGTTATGTTTTTTTTTCTTTTTTTTTTTTGGATTGCGCTCGTGTTCGGCAGTGAATACTCACTCATTATAGTGATTAATTATCGTTGAGCCAACAGTTTGTGGTGGAAGTGAGCAAATTTTAAATTAAATCACTGGTGTTGCACAATTAAATATGTGGCGTTGGTGAGTATGAATAAAAGTATGTCTGAACATATCTGCGTGAATATATATATATATACATGAATGTGTGTTGGCGAAGAGAATTTCCATTGTTCGACTTATATATCATTCAAGTTAAGTTGTTATTATAAGCAATATGCATACATTAGGGTGGTCAAAAATGTTAAGAAAACCAATCTGCCCTTCTTATGGAACCATAATACATATTGTTGGCATCTTCTCTAACACCCTAACCAGGATGTATAGCTGAATATGGCGAAGTCGTGAGCTTCTTCACGGCTGGTTAGAAACCTTCGACTCTACGTGCACCCTATACTTATTAG